ATCAAAACAGAGGGGACCACGGCCAAACCTATGGATACTGCCAAGGCAAAAATCTCTGATAACTGAGGGTACTTCTACACGACAGCGTTCATTCGAGTTAACTTAATTCGAAATAAATTCAAATTAAGCTAATTCGAATTAACGCATGTACACACAAAACCTATTTCAAAATAGCGGTTTGCATGTATAGACGCTATTAAAGTGAATTCGAAGTAACGACTGTTATTTCAAATTAATTTTGCAGTGTAGACATACCCTCACACGCATCGAGTGGAGTCAACCTGAGCATCTTATCTCCAAGTGTACCAATTATGAAAGGTAGGTAATGGGTTTTATGGCAGGGACGTGGCAACTCTTGGGCTTGGTCATAGGCCGGTTATTCTCTGTTTGGATTAGACCACAGTTGACTTCTCTGTATAATGGGGATTTGTCCATAGAATCTTTCCCTTGCTAGGGGTTTTGAGGATCCTTCCAGGAGCTGCACAATATGATGGTAGCCACTGGTGAGAATTACTGATTGGTGGTCCCAGCGTGACAGCTCCACTTGCCTGCAGAAAGTGCTCATGTCTCCCCTCAGTCATCCATCTCCAGATCTGCCATCCATCATGGGCATTCACAAGGTAGCAGACCCTGTGCAGAGCGCGGCATTATCCCTGGTTTTCTTAATGAGCAACTATAATGATTAAACATTCACAGAAACAGAGAGCAGCCAACTTCTCTGTGAATCGCTCAGAGCCCCAGAGTGCTCCGCTCCCTTTGGGAAGGGCCTTAATTGCTGTTTACTCCTAAAGCTGGATAAATAGCCCAGAAGCCCAGACAAGCTTATCTCCAGCCTCTTTGTATCTAGATACTCCTCCCCCTGACACTGAGCAAACCCTCAAGGACTGCACAGAGATATATTATAAAGAGTGCACACCCCTGTGTCGGCTTTCGGCGCGGGACGCTGCTGCAGACGCTGGGTGGAGAGAGGTGCGGGACGTGGCTGCCTAAGGGGGATTCCCAGGGAACAAACATACATCTCAGTATTCACAGGTACCTGTCTCTTGTTGAGGAGCTCCCCTGCTTGACAAATCCAGTGCTACGTAGGCGTGATGGGAGATACAGTAAGTCTGGGGTTCTTTCAGCTCTGCATGGCCATAAAACATGACGGCTGTGTCTAAACTGTCCATTTTTTCCGGAAAATCAGCCACTTTTCCGGAAAAACTTGCCAGCTGTCTACACTGGCCGCTTGAATTTCCGCAAAAGCGCTGACGATCTCATGTAAGATTGTCAGTGTTCTTGCGGAAATACTGTGCTGCTCCTGTTCAGGCAAAAGTCCTTTTGTGCAAAACTTTTGCGCAAAAGGGCCATTGTAGACAGCTCAGATTTGTTTTCTGCAAAAAAGCCCTGATCACGAAAATGGCAATTGGGGCTTTTTTGTGGAAAAGTGCGTCTAGATTGCTTTTGCGGAAAAGCGTCCGTGCCAATCTAGACGCTCTGTTCCGAAAATGCTTTTAATGGAAAACTTTTCCGTTAAAAGCATTTCCGTAAAATCATGCCAATCTAGACACAGTCCCCAGGTCCTCTGCCACTGCTGATAAATGTGTTCAAGTGTCACTAAAAGAAATGTTACTCTTTTGAGTGCCCCACCTCCAGCACCAATTGATGCCCTCCACTCCTAAGGTGGCTGCCTTTCAGTGGCACAGGAAATCCCTCTGGATGCAAGGATAGTAGCTGTACCATACAAAGTCATTAGTAGATGTACAATGCAAAGTCAAATTTGGAGGACGTGGTCCGTAGTTTGCACACAACCCCCGAGGCAAAACTTCCTTTGGAGTAAGACCCAAGGAAAGACCTCAGGAGCTAGTCGTGTGTTAATGCAGAGACTGTCCCTTCCTCTCCTTGCATTTCAGGGTATTGGCTGCTAATTTGGGGGTTCTGTTACCTGACTTTAACCTGCTTGGAAGCAGGGAGGTTTTAAGGCCCCTCATGAAACAGCCTCAAGGACTTCTCAACATAAGCAAGAAATAAGAAATCGTCTCTCCCAGCTTCATTGATGAGGTGTTCGCACTGTCAGGCCTGAGGCTTTTCAAAATCTGTGTAGCCAGAAGCAGATGAGCAGTGTGGGACATTTGAAGACAGGCGGTGAAAGTTTGGCAAAATTATCGTCATCTACGTGCCAGGACTCACAACCGCTGGGGTCACACAGCGTTAACGGACAGTGATGCCCCCAGCACCACCTGCAATAGCTTCTCCAGTTCTGAATCCCACTCGGCTAAGCTCTTCCCTCCCGTAATGTCCATGCGAAGGTAGGGCACAGGCCACAGATGGGTTAGGTGAACAGTTTTTTTTTAATCTATTTTGCACAGCCAGACTTTCGGTGTAATTGAATGTTCCCTTGTGCACATGCTGTGAGACATGGGCAAAAATAAACGTTGGGTCTGCTGTCTTTAGCAATCGATTCACAGAGCTTAAGGTCAGAAGGAATCATTAAATCACACAGGCAGGCCTCTTCTATAACACAGGCCCTTACATTTCATCGAGGCTATGTCTAGACTGCAACGCTTTTCCGGGCTACCGAAGGTTTCCCTGAAAAGCAAAGCCGGGTCCAAGAAACGTGTCTGCTTTGCCGAAAAAATATTCAGAAAAGTGGACATGTTCTTTCACTATCCCCATAAACATCATTGCACGAGGAAGAAGGGATCGCTCAAAAGAGTGGGTTTTTCCAAAATTTGGCGCTGGGTAGATGCACCAAATTTGGGAAAGACACTTTCAAAAGAAAAACGGGAAAAGATACAAATTGCGGTTTGCGTATCTTTTCCTGACTTTTCTTTGTAGTCTAAACGTAGCCCTAGTTACACCGCTGTTGAGCCCATTGACTTGTGTGTGTGACTAAGGCTTGAATTTTACGTCATAGAACCATAGAACCACAATTTGCTGTGGCTGTACCATGCAGGACTGGTGACGACTCATCCTTCTTTGGGAACCGTCCCCAGGCATCTCTTCCTTTGTCCTACTGTTCTTACAGGAGGCAATTTTTGGGGGGAGATTTCTTCTAAATCCGCTGTGCTGTTGTTTAGCCTTGTCCGCCTTTCTGTGGCCTTTCTTGAGGAGAGGGAGCTCAGTGCTCTGCCTCCTCCTGCAGCCCAGTTCCTCAAAGCCTAGCACCCCCAGCCCAACCCTCTCTTCTGCCTTTGTTCTCATTCCATGGCAAAAGCTGTCATCCGGCCACACACCCTCCTGGGCTCAGGTTACAAAGGGTGTGGGGTCGCATCAGTCAGTGAGACTTACACCCGAAATCCCCTTCACCAGCTAGGCATTAATGCAGTGCCCTGGGAAACTGAGGCACATACGGGGTTACTAGAGGACCGTGGATCACACACGCAACACAACAAAGTGAATACACATGGAATTGGAGAATTCACCAGGTCCCTTTGCAGTGGATTCCAAAGGTCGATCACCCTCAGGGCTAAACATCTGTCCCTTATTTCTGCTTGGAATTTGTCTGAATCCAGTGTCCAGCCATTAGACCATGCTCTGACTGGCCCTGCTACATTTGAGCCCATTGTTATCCATGGTTTCCTCCCCATGGAAATCTCTGCTTGATTGTCCTTCTAAGAGAAATAGATGAAGCGCTTTAAATGTTTCTCTCCGTCAGGCATTGTTTGCAGCTTCCGATCATTTTTCTCACTCTTCTCTGCACCATCTTCAACTTTACCGCACAGTTTTTTTCAAATGTGGAGCCTGGGCCTGGACACAGACACTCTGCCAATCTTTGGGTCTTCCAGAGATTTGATCTGCAGTGAGTTACATCCTCTCAGATCATTTAGGACAATATCAAAGGGCATCAGACCTGGAACTGAGCCCTGCAGAACGCCCCCTAGAAACAGCCCCGTTCCCCGACAGTGGCACCTTTGACGATGGCTTTCTGAGATCTGTCGCTTGGTCAGTTTTGAGTCCATTACGTAGAGTGATTTCTTTATCTAAATATCCTTCGCAGACTTCACACCTATGGCAGCCCCCCTCCTCTTGTCATGGTCTGTCTCACAGCTCCATTTTAGATTTCCTGTGTCCTGGGACTAAAACTGAGCGCATGCCCAGGGCAGCCTGTTCTCCATCCCCTTCCTTGTCCTGGTTTTCACCACTGCCGCAATGAGGGGATATTTCCTGGCAGCTGTTCACGATTATTCCTCTCGGGTCTCATCTAGGTGGGAGTTTTTCCGCAGCCTATGTGTTGGCAAAAGTTTGGGGTCTTGGCTCGCTCTGTTTTTAAGCCACCAAGTGAATTTCTATACCAGGGGTGGGGAACCTTTTTTGGGTCAGGGGCCACTTTGGAAAAATCAGCTGGGCGGGAGGTAGCAGGGGTGGGAGGGGGAGGAGCCCAGAGCCCCCGGGGCAGGATCCAGGCAAACCAGTGTCCAAATTTGGCCCCTGAGCCTTAGGTTCCCCACCCCTGCTCTACAGGGTGGTGGCTCTAACCTGACTCTCCTGACATGAAGGAACAATGAGGCATAACCAATGTCCACAGTACGAATGTTTCCCACATGCAACACAAAGATGTTATTGGTTCCTGGAGCACTATCGAACATGGGATTTGTCGGGTCAGTTTTTCTTGATTAATTTTTTGTAAATACTGAAAATGTCAGTTTAAAGTGACAGTCAATCTGCTTCGCTTGTGAGAACAGCGTAGAGTGTCTTCTATTAACATTCTCTTTCCATCCAGGCATTTCTACTGGGATCATCACCCTAAGTGCTAGAGACACAAGGTACATGAAGGAGATATCGTTCTGCCTCAGAGTTGGATCTGGTCTCACTTCCTCCATGTCAGATTTCAACAAAACTGTCTTCACCAACCCCTCCACCTTTGCTTCGCTTGTGAGAACAGCGTAGAGTGTCTTCTATTAACATTCTCTTTCCATCCAGGCATTTCTACTGGGATCATCACCCTAAGTGCTAGAGACACAAGGTACATGAAGGAGATATCGTTCTGCCTCAGAGTTGGATCTGGTCTCACTTCCTCCATGTCAGATTTCAACAAAACTGTCTTCACCAACCCCTCCACCTTCATCCTGCTGGGGATCTCCATCCCATTCTCGGGCATCTACGCCATCGCCGTCTTGGGGAACTTCACCATCCTCTTCATTGTGAAGAAGGAACAGAGCCTCCATGAGCCCATGTACTATTTCCTCTGCATGCTGGCCGTCACCGACCTCGTCCTGTCTACAACCACCCTGCCCAAAATGCTCAGCATTTTCTGGTTCAATTCCAGGGAGATTAATTTCAGTGCTTGCCTCACCCAGATGTACTTCATTCACTGCTTCACAGTGATGGAGTCTGGGATCTTCGTGGCCATGGCTTATGATCGCTACGTGGCCATCTGTGATCCCCTGAGACATTCCACCATCCTGACAAACACCATGGTGGTCAAGACTGGCCTGGCCATGGTGCTTCGTGGCAGCGTGCTTGTAATGCCCTATCCCATCTTCGCAAGTCTGCGGCCATATTGCAGAACCAATATAATCTCCCATGTATACTGCGAGCACATGGCCGTGGTGAAGTTGGCCTGCGCTGACATTACCATCAGTAATTACTACGGCCTCTCTGTGTTATTCAGTGTCCATGGACTGGATGTGATTTTTATTGTCATTTCCTATAACCAGATCCTCAGGGCCATCTTCAGGCTCCCCACCAAGGACGCCCGACTCAAGACTTTTGGGACCTGCAGCTCCCATCTCTGCGCCATCCTAACATTTTATGTCCCAATGGTCTTCACTTCCATCATGCACCGGTTCGGTCACAGCGTGGCCCTGCCTTTCCACATTCTCATTGCCAATATTTACCTCTTGGTGCCACCCATGCTAAACCCCGTCATCTACGGGGTGAGAACCAAGCAAATCCGGGACAGGATGCTGCATGTCTTTACTCCTAAAAGGACCTAAAGTTTTCTCCTGGTGCTCTCAGAGGGTATGTCTACACTAGCCCCCTAGTTCAAACTAGGGTGGCTAATGTAGACATTTGAACTTGCAATTGAAGCCAAGGATTTAAATATCCTAGGCTTCATTTGCATGTTCCCGGGCAAAAGGTCAGAAGGGATCACCTCATTGTAGGAGGAGTATCAGTTAATTCGAACTAAGGACTTAGTTTGGATTAATTTCTGACTGCCGCGTGTAGCCTTGGGCAGTCAGTTCGAACTAAGAGGATTTAAAAATGGCACCCACCCGGGAACATGCAAATGAAGCCTAGGATATTTAAATCCTTGGCTTCAATTGCAAGTTCAAATGTCTACATTAGCCACCCTAGTTTGAACTAGGGGGCTAGTGTAGACATACCCAGTCCTAGCTTTGGGAAGAGCTGGCTGAGGACATGGAGCTTGGCTCTGCTCACTGAGTCATTTACTGGACAGTCCGAGAGACATCGAAACACGTTCCCCAACTTACTGTGCTATGTCAGCAGGACAAACTGGGGAACTGGTCTCTGTACAGCTCAGTAATATAGAAGGTTTCCACCTTTTTTTACTGCTAGTAACAGGCCCCTTTGGCCCCATCCCTTGCTCTACCTGTTCTCTCAATGCCCTGCCCTGTCATTCAATTCTGCTAAAGCCCATCCCCCAAGGTTTACTCCGCTCCTCTCCTCCCCTTCCTTGTCGCTCACTGGTTCATCTCCACCTCCCTCCCACAACTGCTGGGCTCCCTCTGGGAGCTGCTGCAGCCCAACGAGGAGCCTGCAGTGAGGGCAGGGAGGACAGGCCCTGTGGTGCTGACAGGCCCTTCAGGAATGGAGAAGGAAGCCAGGAATCCACAAATATTTCTGCTGAGGTGGAGAGGACGTCAGGAAGCCATATAAACAAAGCTGAGGGTGGGGAGCAGGGTGTGAGGCAGGCAGGCGAGGCTGTACATCCTATAGCTTGTAGGCCCTACAACTGAGCCACAGAGTCATGAGGGCAGAGTTATTGTGCAGCTCACTTTTTGTAACTTTCACGTCTCTCTCGTTCCTTCATGCTGTGGCCTGTAGCAGGCAGGGTCCCCACACTAGGTGTGGGCTGGGAGCCCTCTGCCCTGAGCCAGGGCTCGGGTGCAGGGAAAGGGGCCAATTTGATGGAAGGTGAACAACAGCTCAGAGAGGTGGACCGATAGGCCCTTGCTTATCAGGGAAGATGGGATGCTGGTCAGAGACCAGATGGGCCTTAGTAGCGCACAGGGAATGAGAGAAACAATTGCCCCCAATGCCCAGGTGTGAAGCTGAAGAGTGAAGCTGAGTCTAATACATGCAATGCATCTGTCACTACTTCTAGATGCTCTTTAACCAGGTTTTTAGGTTGTGTTATGTCCCATTCATAGGCAGACTGAGCCACGCAGTGGTACAGTGCTACCCAAAGCCACCCAATGAGTTGGTGGCAGAAATGAGATGAGACACTGGCAGTCTTAACCCTCCCCACCCCACCCCGGAACCAATGCTCTGATCATGAACTGTCATTGCTCTTCTGGCTTGTAGTAGACACAGCGGCTGTGTCTACACTGGCATGAATTTCTGGAAATGCTTAAAATGGAATACTATTCCGTTTTCAGTTTTTCCGGAAAAGGAGCGTCTACATTGGCAGGCTGCTTTTCCGGAAAAGCCCTTTTTCCGGAAAAGCGTCTGTGGCCAATGTAGACGCGCTTTTCCGGAAAAGAGCCCCGATCGCCATTTTCGCGATCGGGGCTTTTTTCCGGAAAAGACTACTGGGCTGTCTACACTGGCCCTTTTCCGGAACAGTGTTCTGGAATAAGGACTTATGCCCGAGCAGGAGCAGAATAGTTTTTCCGGAATAGCGGCTGATTTTGTACAGTAGAGCATCGTTGCTTTTCCGGAAATTCAAGGGCCAGTGTAGACAGCTCGCAGCTTATTCCGGAAAAGCGGCTGATTTTCCGGAATAAGTGGCCCAGTGTAGACACAGCCAGCGTGGATTACTGTGTTTCATCATCCGTGGAGCTGCAGTCCTTCAGAAACAGGAGGGACTTATTAAAGAGACAACTAAAAATGATGGTCATTGTCTTTCTTGGCACCACACGCTGTCTGGAATGCTACACATGCCATACGGTCTATCAAGGTTGTTCCCCACTCTGGTACTTTGAGTGCAGACCGGAAAATCCCTTGCCTCTAGAGGTTTCTGTTTTAAAAACTTCCCACGGTCACAGACAGGGTGGCTGAAGAGCAGGGTTCCCAATGAAGGCTTGCTGCAGAGCTTGGAATCTGTCTTCACACTCCCTAACCAGCCTGCCGGCCATGGGCTGTGCCAGGTAAGCCCAGAACTGGTCACACCTCTCCCCTCACGGTAGGAACTGGTCAGGCCTGCAGAGCTTGGACTCTCCATATGAGTGGCCCGCGAGACCTCACCCCACCGGCTATCCCAGGCGCATGGCTTCCTCCCACCTAATCTAACATCACTTTGGGTTGGCAGTGATCTCCGCATCTTGATGACAGCAGCTACCTGGCATCAATGACCCCCCCAGTGGTGGCTGTCCATTAGTATGTTATCTAAGCAGGCTACAGCATTCTCCATGTGGGGACTTAGAAGGCTGTCCATCAGGTGCAGAGAGATTGCTGGGATCCTATGGAGGCCGAAGACCATTCGGTTGAAGCGGTATAATTTCTTCTGCCCGGTATCTGAGGAAGTGGGTCTGGCCCACGAAAGCTCATCATCTAATAAACCATCTTGTTAGTCTTTAAAGTGCTACATTGTCCTGCATTTTGCTTCAGCTACTTGCCAATACCTTGTCATGACCCTTTTGTGAGCCCTCAGAGCAGGGCAAAATGTCTGTTGCCCAGAGCGGGGCAAGAACGTCCCATCAGAGAGACAGAAAGTGGAAAACCATGGCCGAGGGGAATCTCTGCTTCCGACTGCTAATGAACTGACACCTGCCCACACCCAGATCAGTAATGATCAGACCATGTTTCAGAGGCGTAGCTATGTTAGTCTGTACCTTTAAAAACAACACGAAGTCCTGAGGCACCTTAGAGAATAACAAAAATAGATAGGGTCATTAGTATGAGTTAGGGTACGTCTACACTAGCCCCATGATCGATCTAGGGAGGCTAATGAGAGCAACCGAAATTGCAAATCAACCCCGGGATTTAAATATCCAGCTCTTGATTTGCATGTTCCTGCAATTGACTAGCCTGAAGTAACTGCCCGCGTCTACATGCGGCAGTGAAACGGGATTCCGATTTAAAGCCCCTAAATCAAATTAGCTGGTAAAACTCACTGCAGGAGGAATACCAGCTAATTCAAGTTAGGGCTTTAAATCAGAATCCTGTTTCACTGCCGCTTGTAGACACGGGTGGTTACTTCGGGCTAGTCAATTTTTAAAATGGTGACCGGACGGGAACAAGCAAATCAAGCGTGGGAGATTTAAATCCCAGGCTTGATTTCACTTTCGGTCGCCCTCATTAGCCTCCCTAGATCGATCTAGGGGACTAGTGTAGCCGTACCCTTAGAGTGGAAGTAAGAAAACCCAAGATATATATAACAGAAGTACCTGTGAATGGTAGAATATTAAGGTACATTGTGGGGAGTATTAACAGCAGATCTAGAGAAGTGATTATTCCCCTTTATGTGGCAATGGTGAGACTACATCTGGAGTACTGCGTCCAGTTCTGGGCCCCTCACTTTTGAAAGGATGTGGACACATTGGAGAAGATCCAATGGAAGGCAACAAAAATGATGAGGGGGCTGAAGTGCATGACCTGTGAGGAGAGGCTGAGGGATTTGGGCTTGTTTAGTCTGCAGAAGAGAAGAGTGAGGGGAGATTTGAGAGCAGCCTTCAACTTCCTGAAGGGAGGTTCCAAAGAGGATGGAGAGAGGCTGTTCTCAGTGGTGACACATGGCAGAATGAGGACCAATGGTCTCAAGTTGCAGTGTAGGAGGTTTAGCTTGGATATCAGGAAAAACTATTTCTCTAGGCGGGTGGGGAAGCACTGGGCTGGGTTCCCTAGGGAGGGGTGGAATCGTCATCCCTGGGGGCTTTTAAGTCCTGGCTTGACAAAGCCCTGGCTGGGATGATTGAGTTGGGTTGGTCCTGGTTTAGGCAGGGGGCTGGACTCAATGACTCCTGAGGTCTCTTCTAGCCTCATTATTTCTTTGATACCAATGAAGCCATTCAACAGGCATTTGCCAACCCCAGGGATATAAAAGTCAGTTTCTGAACATAGTGGGGGAGTCGACAGGGCCTTAGTTTAAAGTTTGCTTTGAAAATATTTCATTGGTGCGTTACTGAACACTATACAATCGCATCTCTCAAAAATTGCCACCCACCCTGTCTCCCATCGGGCATAGGGGCATCAATCTAATCACACTGTCGGCCCGTAAATCCTAAGGAGGGTCCTGCCTCACCTCTATTGGAACTGACATGAGCAAGTACTCAAAGAAGAGGAAAGTGTAACCTGGCTATGGTATGTGTTGTTCTGGAAGCTATATGGCTCATGTCCATTCTCCTACCCATCCTACTCCTGTTGGAGTTGCTGGATAGAAAGAAATGAGAGGGCGCAGGGCCGGCGGTGTGAAATATGCTGACACATTTTCACATCAATCTAGAGGGGCCAGAGTCCAGCCTATGGATACTGCCAAAGCAAAAATCTGATAATTTACACACATCGGCTGTGTCTAGACTGGTAAGTTTTTCTGCAAAATCATCTGATTTTGTGGAAAACCTTGCCAGCTGTCTACACTGGCCGCTTGAATTTCTGGAAAAGCACTGACGATCTCCTGTAAAATCATCAGTGCTTTTCCAGAAATACTATGCTGCTCCCGTTTGGGCAAAAGTCTTTTTCTGAAAGACTTTTGCGCAAAAGGACCAGTGTAGACAGCATAGTACTGTTTTCCTCAAAAAAGCCCCGAGCGCGAAAATGGCGATCGGGGCTTTTTTGCGGAAAACCGCGTCTAGATTGGCCACGGACGCTTTTCCGCAAAAAGTGCTTTTGCGGAAAAGCATCCTGCCAATCTAGACGTGCTTTTCGAAAAATGTTTTTAACGGAAAATTTTTCCGTTAAAAGCATTTCCGGAAAATCATGCCAGTGTAGACGTAGCCATCATGTAGAATCAACCTGAGCAGCTTATCACAAAGAATACCAAGTATAAAAACTAGATAACGGATTTTTATGGCAGAGAAATGGCAACTCTTGAGCTTTGTCATGTTCTAATTATTCTCTGTGTGATGTAAGCGTCAGTTTACCTCACTGTATAATAGGGATATGTTCATAGAATCTTTGTCTTGCTAGGGGAATTGAGGATCTTGCCACGAATGGAGCTGCACAATATGATTGTCCCAAGTGATGAGAGCAGCGGGGAATCCTGTGGCATCTTCGGGTACGTCTAAACTACATGCCTCTGTCGGCAGAGGCATGTAGATTTGTTTGTTCAGCAAAGGCAAATGAAGCCGCGATTTAAATGATCGCAGTTTCATTTACATTTACATGGCTGCTGCGCTGAGCCGACAAACAGCTGATCAGCTGTTTGTCGGCTCAGCGCAGCAGCCATGTAAATGTAAATGAAACTGCGATCATTTAAATCGCGGCTTCATTTGCCTTTGCTGAACAAACAAATCTACATGCCTCTGCCGACAGAGGCATGTAGTTTAGACGTACCCGAAGATGCCACAGGATTCCCCGCTGCTCTCATCACTTGGGACAATCATATTGTGCAGCTCCATTCGTGGCAAGATCCTCAATTCCCCTAGCAAGACAAAGATTCTATGAACATATCCCTATTATACAGTGAGGTAAACTGACGCTTACATCACACAGAGAATAATTAGAACATGACAAAGCTCAAGAGTTGCCATTTCTCTGCCATAAAAATCCGTTATCTAGTTTTTATACTTGGTATTCTTTGTGATAAGCTGCTCAGGTTGATTCTACATGATGGCTACGTCTACACTGGCATGATTTTCCGGAAATGCTTTTAACGGAAAAATTTTCCGTTAAAAACATTTTTGGAAAAGCACGTCGACCCCTCTGCTACTTGGCAAGTGATGAGAATTATTCTTCTCCTCAGAAAATGCTCATGTCTGTCTCCGGATCTGTCTCCTCCCTAGCCATCCGTCATGAGCATTCACTAGGTAGCAGACGTGGTGGAGACCTCGACATCATCCCCGGTTTTCTTAATGAGCAACTATAATGATTAAACATTCACAAAAACAGAGAGCAGCCAACTTCTCTGTGAATCAACTCAGAACCCCCGGGTGCTCCGCTCCCTTTGGGAAGGTCCCTTAATTGCTGTTTACTCCTAAAGCTGGATAATTAGCACAGATGAGATTTCTCTCCGCCCTCTTTGGATCCAAATACCGCTATGCCTGAGAGCAAGCAAACCCCTCAGGGACTGCACAGAGACATGCTATAAAATGTATGCACTCTTGTGTGACTTCTCACTGGGCGGTGCTGCCGCAGATGCTGGGCTGAGAAAGACGCGGGACATGGCTACCTGAGGGAGGCGCCCAGGCAAGTCAATTCCATCTCAGAATTCACAGGTACCATCTTTAGCTGAGGCGCTGAACGGCTCCGCAAACCCAGCGCTATGTAGGTGTGATGGGATAGATAGTTCGTCTGTGGCTCTTTCTGCTCTGTTCAGCCATTAAATGTCCCAGGGCCCTTTCAGGAACTGTTCAGAATCCTCAAACGTCAGTAACCGAAATGTAACTCTTTTTTATGCACCCCTCCTGCCCAAGCGGACGGGCGCCAGGCCTAACGTGGCTGCATTTCAGTAGCACGGGGGATCCTTCTGGATAAAGGGTGTTTGTCGATGTACAGAACAAGGCCAAATTCTCAGGCTGCAACCTGTAGTTTTCTCACCATCTCTGAGGTAAAACTGCCTTTGAAATAGGGCCCGGGGGAAAGACCTCAGGAGCCAGCTGTGTGTTCATGCACAGAGACGGTCACCTCCTCCTTCTAAATTTCACAGCTTTGTCTGTTTAATGGCCTGTAACCTTCTTGGATGCATGGAGGTTTTAAGGCCCCTTACTGGACAATTGTAAGAACTTTTCAACGTGGGCAAGGCACCCCAAACTTGGTCATAAAGTGTCTGCACTGCCAAGCCTGATGTCTAAAAAAAAATTGTTCAGCCAGAAGCAGACATGAAGGGTATGTCTATGCTACATGGCTCCGTCGAAGGAGCCATGTAGATTACCTTTGTAGACATAGGAAAATTTAAATTAAAATGGCTGCCGAGTTGTGCCGATCTGCTGTTTGTCGGCACAGTGCTGTAGTCTGGATGCTCCACGGTTGACATCAAAAGCATTTGTCGACCGCCCCGGTATGCCTCGTGGGATGAGGTTTACCGGGGAGTTTGACAAATGCCTTTGATGTCGACTGTGGAGCGTCCAGACTAGCGCACTGTGCCGACAAACAGCTGATCGGCACAGCGCGGCAGCCATTTTAATTTAAATGAAGTGGTGATTATTTAAATCGCCGCTTCATTTTCCTATGTCTACAAAGGTAATCTACATGGCTCAGTTGACAGAGTCATCTAGTGTAGACATACCCAAAGAGTGGGGCCATTGAGGTGAGACGGGCAGAGTTTTGCAAAATGATCAGCAATTGCTCGCCAGTAGTCACAATTTCATTCAGCATTAACAGAGAGTGATGCCCCCAGCACCACGTGCAATAGCCACACCAGTTCTGAATCCCACTCGGCTAAGCTCTTCCCTCTCGTAATGTCCATGGGAAGGCAGCGCACAGGCCACAGATGGGTTAGGTGAACAGGGGTTTGTTATCAATTTTCTACATCCAGACTTGCAAAGTAACTGCATGTTCCCTTGTGCACGTGCTACGAGACAGGGCGAGTATAAACGTCTGATCTGCTTTCTTTAGCAACAGGTTCACAGAGCTTAAGGTCAGAAGGGGTCACTAAGTCACCTGGGCAGGCCCCCTCTATAACACAGGCCCTTGCAATTCACCTCTGTTGAGGCCATTGCCTTGTGTGAGTAAGGCCTGGTTCACACTAGGATTTTACAGCATAGAACCATAGAACCACAGGGGAAGAAAGACCATGATTTGCTGTCTGTACCATGCAGGACAGGTGACTATTCATCCTTCTTCAGGAATCCTCCCCAGGTATCTCTTCCTTTGTCCTCCTGTTCTTACAGGTAGCAATTTTTGGGGGGAGATTTCTTCTAAATCGGCTGTGCTGTTGTTTCAGCCCATTAACACTTGCCCTACTCTTACGGCAGGAGAGAACAACTTTTCTCCATCTTTTTTTTTTCACGGTACCTTTAAAAGTAGCTGAAGAAGAGTGTCAAGTGCCCCCGCCGTCTCTCCATTTCCAAATGTCATAGTCTCACTCCCTTCAATCTGTTCATAGTCTTTGTAGTCCAGCACTTGGATCATCTTTGTCTTTAGGCCTTGGATCACTTCCAGACCTCTTGTAAGGGCCCTATTAGCAGGTGACCCAAACCGGAGACCGTTCTCCAGCTGAATGCGCTGAGCAGCGGAACACTGTCACCTCTTGTGACTTCCACACTGTGCCTCTGTTAATGAAACCCTAAGCAGCATTTGCTTTTCTTTCAGTAGCAAAAATATTCACCTCCTCCATCCCCGGGAGTTGTAGCTGTGTCAGAGTAACCCAGTGTTGACAGCATGAGGTCAGCAAAGAATTGTTCCATCCAATTAGCTAGAACCGTTTGATCGAGAGAGTCACCGGGCCCTGCGCCCTCTTTTGGAGCTACATATGGCTTTCAGCCAGCAAGTAGAACAGAAGGTCTATTGGTTGACAGGGATACAACATAGGCCAGACTTGTCAGCACAGACGGCAGAAGCAGTCAGTACCGTCCATCTTACGGAGAGGGAGCTCAGAGCCCTGTCCTCTCCTGTACCCCAAACCATCTAAGAGTGATTTCCGCATCTAATGGCCTAGCCCAAGCCCCTCCTCTGTGCTTTGTTCTCCTGCCCTGGTTAAATTGTCACCTTGTAGCACACCCTCCTAGGCTCATGTTATAAGGGGTGACCATTATACACATGCTGTGACTGGGATTGCCTGCCTAAGTGAGACACACACCAGAAATCCTCTTCACCCTCTAGTTATTAGTGCAATGTCTTGGGAAACTGAGGCACACACCCACACCCGGTTACAACAGGACAGTGGAATGCACAGGCAACATAACAAAGTAAACACAATCCCCACATCATCGCCAGAGGCTGTCAAGCAGATCTTCCAGTAATGTCTCCATGTCTCTGTAGACACTAAGTCCCTTTGCAGTGGATTCCAATGGCTCATCACCCTCAGGGCTAAACATCTGGTCCTTATTTCCGGCTAGAATTTGCCTGAATTCAGTGTCCAGCCATTACGCCTTGCTCTGCCTTGGTAGATAAGAGCCCATTCTTATCTACAGTTTCCTGCCCATGGAAATTGCTGCTTGGTCATCCTTTGGGTAGGGTACATAGATGAAGCCCCTTTTTTTTACTCTTTTCTGTACCACCTCCAACTCTCTTTTTTGAAATGAGGAGCTGAAACTGGGCACGGTAACTTTGGGTTGTTCAGAAAGTTTATCTGCCGTGAGTTACTTTCCTCCCAGATTACTTATGACAGTTCTGAAGAGCAGCAGGCCTAGAACTGAGACCTGCGGAACCCTTCTAGAGACAACCCCATTCCCTGAGAGTGGCCCATCCACAATGGCTTTCTGACATCTATCAGATGGACAATGTTTAGTCCATTGGATGGAGAATGGTTTGAGACATTTGGTTTGGTAACGGAAGACGTATATAAAAACAGAGATAACAAAGTTGATTGCACTTGAATTTATCCTCCCAATTCATTTTGCTGACAATTTGTTTTGGCCTTTGGGAATTAGCCTTTTGAACACCTAGTGACTGTAGATATTCCTCGTTGGTGACTGTTCTCTCATTGACAATTTGTGTGTCATCCGCTTCATTCTTTGTTTGACTCTCCTCTATCATGGGCCCCCTTATTTGTCTCTTCCCAGACTTTGCAGCCTCTTCACCTATGGTAGCCCCAATACTCTAGTCATGGGCTCTCCCACAGCTCCATTTTCTATTTCCTGTATCCTTTATCCAGATGGGGTTGTTCTCCGTCTCTTTATGTGTCTTGGTGTTCAATGACCAGGTATTTCCTGGGAGCTGTTTACAATGATGCCCCGATTTTTCTGCTGAGGTCTGTTCTAGGTGGGATGTTTTCCCCCAGCTCTTGTCTTGATAAAGGTTTGGTATCTTCTCTCACTTTGGGTGTGTCTAGACTACATGGCTCCATCAACAGAGCCATATAAACTAGTTTACCCAACAGAGTCAAAGAAGCGGGGTTTACAGGAGTGGTCGATAAAGGCTTCCCTTGTCGACCGTGCTGCGTCTAGACTGCCGCGCTGTGCCGGATCAGCTGATTGTCGGCACCGCGTGGTGGCCATTTTTATTTTAATGAAGTGGGGATAATTTAAATCCCCACTTCTTTGACTATGTCGGGTAAATTAGTTTACATGGATCCGTCGACAGAGCCATGTAGTTTAGACACACCCTTTCATTTTAAGCCACCAAGCAAGTGGGGAACTCTCTAGAGAATGCCTGACTTACATGGTATAAAGGAACAACGAGGCATAACCGGTATCCACGTTAATTTTTCCTACTGGTACCTATGCCTATTTCCCACACTAAGAAATACAGGAGTTCTTTGCTGATGGAGCACTATCAAATATGATATTAGTAGGCTCCATTTTTTCATGATTCATTTTTTGTGAATAGTGAAAATTTCAGTTTTAAGGGTGTGAGGCGTAATCAATCTGCTTCACCAATGAGAACAGCATGTAGTGTCTGCTATTAACATTGTCTTTCCATGCAGGCATATTCTACTGGGACCATCAGCCAAGACACTAGTCAAATACAGGAAGATACAGGCGCATACTGTACATGCAAGAGACATCACTCTGCTTCAGGGTTAGATCCAATCTCACCTCTATGTCAGAATCCAACACAACCATCTTCACCAACCCCTTTCTGGCCTCGAGGTGGCCCATATATGGATCTCCATCCCCTTCTCTGCCATCTACGCCATAGCCCTCTTGGGAAACTTCGCCATCCTCTTCATCGTGAAGACGGAGCCGAGCCTCCATGAGCCCATGTACTATTTCCTCTGCATGCTGGCGGTCACTGACCTGGTCCTGTCCACCTCCACCCTGCCCAAAATGTTGAGCATCTTCTGGTTCAATTCCAGGCAGATCAATTTCAGAGCCTGCCTCACCCAGCTGTACTTCATTGACTCCTTCAAAGTCATGGAGTCTGAGATCTTCGTGGCCATGGCTTATGATCGCTACGTGGCCATCTGCGATCCCCTGAGACATTCCACCATCCTGACAAACTCCTTTGTGGTCAAGACTGGCCTGGCCATGATGCTTCGTGGAAGCGTGCTCGTAATGCCCTATCCCATCCTCGCAAGTCTGCGGCCTTATTGCAGAACCAACATCATCTCCCATGTATACTGCGAGCACATGGCCGTGGTGAAGTTGGCCTGCGCTGACATCACTATCAGTAATTACTACGGCCTCTCTGTGTTATTCAGTGTCCATGGTCTGGATGTGATTTTGATCGCCATGTCCTATACCCAGATCCTCAAAGCCATCTTCAGACTCCCCACAAAGGACGCCCGACTCAAGACTTTTGGGACCTGCAGCTCCCATCTCTGCGCCATCCTAACATTTTACATCCCAATGATTTTCACCTCCCTCATGCATCGGTTTGGCCACAATGTGGCTTTGTCTTTCCACATTCTCTTTGCCAACATGTATCTCCTAGTGCCCCCCATGCTAAACCCCATCATCTATGGGGTGAGGAGCAAGCAAATCCAGGGCAGGCTGTTCCGACTCCTTATTCCTAAAAGAACCTAAGGTTTTCTTCCAGTGATGGCTGGGGATAAGGAGCTTGAGTCATTTACTGGACAGTAAAAGTATGTCTACACTACAAAGTTAATTCGAAATAACAGCATTTATTCTGAATTAACTTTAATAGCGTCTACACAGCCAAACCGCTATTTCGAAATAAATTTGAAATAGTGGAGCCCTTATTTTGAATTGGTAAACCTCATTCTATGAGGAGTAATGCCAAATTGGAAATAGTTATTTCGAATTAAGTGTTGTGTAGACACTTAAGTCAAAATAGGAGGCTGACAGCCCTTCCCAGGGAGCCCTGGTGGCCACTCTGGGCACAACCAGAAAAACTTACTCTCCTCTCCCCTAGCCCCAGAGCCATTAAAGGGGTAGACCCTGGCCACAGTGCGTGTGCCAGCTCCAAGCCTGCCAGCCCAGAGCCAGCAGTGGCCACTGAGGCCCCCTCCCCCGGGGCCCCAAAACATGAGCCAGCAAGCCACTGGCAGCCAACCCTCCCCCCCCCCCC